GTACATCCTGTTTTTTGTTTCCTGCTGCCCTGAACTACCTCATCTTACACAACTCGTTACAACATTTGGCGTATATGCTCACCCAAGCATCCGCATTCAATGTGCTAGCTGTTAGAGAATATAAATGAACGGGCAATTCCTCATTTAAGTCACATCCCAAACTGACCCCTTATAAAATGCACAGCCTGCATTTCGCAGTGCTGTCTGATACTTTGCATACTGCGTAACTTTGCTTTGGAGGGACCTTCGCAACACCCGTGGTGGAAGTGAATAACGATGCATTGTCTGTCAGCTGCATGACAAGCCAGTTGCAGGTGGAATCAAGGCTTCAATCCATCAAGCGCGGTAAATTGCCACTCAATTCGTTGTCCCATCATTTGCCACTTTGCTACAACCAACCCAATGTCGATCAGTCTGGAACGGCAGTGAAGTTGTAGGCAGCACCAAGTGGGTTAGACCACTGTCGATTTCATTTAATGATCTGAAGAGTTCGGTAATCGCATTCATATTATGCTAACCTCATTCATAATACAATTTCACGCTGAGAGGCGGAAGCAAGCCCACTTAGGGGAAAATCCCTCTCACGTTGTGTAGACGAGAAACGATGTACTTTGGTTTCCCAGATAGATATGCTAGAGGACAGCCATTGAATGAAGAACAACTTTGAAACCTTGAAAGGCTGTGAAGTTGCATGGCTATTAAGCGTGAAGACCTGACCTTTCCAGTGGCATTTTGACAAACTGATGTACATGCCCCTAGCCAGCATGATAAAATGGGCATTTGGGGAGACCAGCAACGCCACCCAGAAGACGATGTCCTCCAACGAACTCGTATTCGTCAAGATGCCAACATCGGCGAGAGGCAAATCCATAGGGACCGCTAAGGAAGTATCTCATTATTCTCAACTGCAAGTTGTGTTGAGTATTTCATTACATTCGTCGAGTTGTTGCTGTTATCTTAACTCCTGATGGTACCCTCAACTCGATGGTGTCATTGAGTTTAATATAGGCCAATAATTTATGCCACCGACTGATATGAATCAAGAAATGACATATTTGGTAGCTCAGTAAAGCAATGAAAGCAAATTTCTGGTAGAAATTTGGAAATTTTCTTGAGTAAGTAAGGAATGAATCCCAGATATCTATTGTAAGGAATGCGAAAAAAGCAGTTTCATGGTTTGTGTTGTGTGAGTGCCCCTTTCCAGTAGCACCAGGCAGGATAACATTACCCGTAGTGAAATAGAAATAGGATTGGCACTGATAATCGCGTCACAACGGTTTATTTCCACCGATAATTGTGATGGGAGATTGGAACCTTTAATGACTGCTTAATTTCGCATTACATGCTCTCACACAACGAAAGTTTCAGTCGCTTCAGCAATTGTGGCATCAGTAAAGTGGTCTTCAGTGATCTGTTTCACCCAATCCATCTCATGCGCATTGCTATCCCACGGCCTCTGAATGCCGTCTTCCTTTTATAACGCAAAGGCAGCAGGTACAACTGCACACACCGCAACTATTAAATACATCGCTACCAGCAGCATGAAGCACATATCAATTTTGATGCAAGTGTTGCCAAAATATGCACAGCCCATTAACCGCTTAAGGCATCATGCAGTTAACCAAGTCGTACGGCAGGTTGCGCCTTCATCCTTGCCGACTGAATTTCTCGCAAGCATGAGTACCATATTGTAATTCGGATACCGCACAGTCATGTCGTGCTACAAATCCCGGTGCTGTGACAAAATATGAGGCTTGCAAAGATGCATATGCGAAATTCAATACTACGTCTACAACTACTAAGTGTTTCTTTATCCATCGAACATTCGTAAGTTCATTCCTCTTCCAAAAAGGCGTCATCACATGCCACATCGACGCTAGCAAGAGACTATGACTGACTAATACGGACCCACCTTCTACTTCGATGTTGGCAGTCAAAATAGCAGGCAATGAGACAAATGCAATCAACCTGCTACCACCATCCCCTCCTCACACTCAAGCCATCAATGCTGGCGAAGTCAGCTTTTACACGACCCCACCCAGATGCAAACCAAGAACAACGGTTTGAGTAAAGTGGGAAGCACTATCAAACCATATTCTCAGGGATGAAATAGCAGTGGTTGTTGTTGGGGAAAGCAGCAAACAAGTTGGGAACATCTTCTCTGCCTTATTCACACTTGGAGTAGTTTTGACCCTGACGACAGGAAAAGGCGACACGAGGAGACGACAATAATGAAGGGAGATGAAATGGGGTAAAAATGCGGGAACAGAGAAAAGTGCGTGCAACCTACGGGGATGTGGGGGGGGGATCCCACTCCACCATCATTGCCAACCTGAAAGTACGAAAAGCGTGGTGACAATGATGGTGATGAGAGCAATGACAACAGAGATGCTGTCCATTTACAGCAAGGAAAGTCGTTGCGCAGAGGTCCAAGGATCCAGTGAAGGTGAGAGCTGCCTCATCAGTTCAGGTCGGAAATGCAAAGTTGGTGGGGTGGAATCATTCTCCACCCAGGTCGATGGTGATGGCAGTGAAGGCGTCCCAATCCTAGCAAAAGGTGTGAGTCGTCCTACTGAGAGCAAACAATTTTCCCTAGGTGGAGCTTCGATGGAAGGGTCTAAAAGCGGGTAACACACCGAACAATAATAGCAAAAAGGCACTAAAGGCAGGCATAGCACTTCCTTCAAGCACATTCCAAATTGGCAGCCGCACCTAGAAATCTGACCGTTGCCTAGTAGACGCGTCATGCTTCACAGTTGAATACACTGCAGTAATCCATGAAAGCGAGAACCACATGCACATAAAATAACTCCGTGTTTCTCTCCATGTTGCGAAGTATCAAACAGTGAAAATGGAGAAATCGAGACTTGATGTCCATCGAAGAAGATTTAGAATTTTCGTGCATATAAATTTTAAAAGCTGAAACGAGATGAGGCATTTTCGACTCTCTCCACTTCGTCCACCACATGGGTAAACTGTACATGAACGCAATGAAGTAAACCGAGCAGACAAATATACCTAGCAAAATCCACCCTTTTATCAAGTAGTTATATAACTGGTAGATAAAAAAGGAGAAAGTAATGCTAGAATTAGGCAGTCGTCTTTCACCTAACACGATTGCAAGATTTTCTATTGGGGTCGAGACAAAGTAGATTATGTGTTCGGGAACCGCAGAACAATGTGCTGCTCACCTTGGCAATACGCCGAATGCCTCGAAACACACCCACAAGCCAGAAAAGAAGTCGATCCCGTATTGACTTTCCGTTAAGGCGAGAAGACATTTTATCCCAACACTCAACTCCGCGTAGTCACCTGATAGCGATGCGGCAATTCAACAACGCGACTCACCTCAAGTCAGTGGAGACTTGCGACCCTGATTCAGCCCGTTGGCACTACCGTAGCTGCAGAAATCTTCGACTTCTTAGCGAAAGTTATGGTGCCGCGTGCTTCAGTGAATTCGCATTTCCAACTCCCCCTGTCCACCGCGACGAAGACTTCCATTTGCACTGCTTCGCAATAGGCCCTGTAGCTTCGTCAGCGTCCACTATGGTGACCATCTTCGATATGGCCCGCCTCGAGGGCTCTTGTGAGCCTGATATTAGTCTGGCGTTGGGATAACTTCACAATATCGTTACCGACTGGACGTGTACCACAATGCATTCTAGTAGTCGCACCATCTCCTACCCCAACCTAAATAAAAAGCAATATGCCATCACTCACCGCTTCTGTTGTCGACTACAGAGCTCCACAAATACCAGCACGGCAGGAGACTTACCACAAGAACCATCTGTGTCAAACATCAGAAAACGAGACCCAGTAAAAGCCACTACATGGATAGCCTCCAACTCGTCACATCTTTATAGGCCGATAAAAAACAAAGGCGAGAAGTTCTCCATTCGTGTGCAAAGGGCTGCACTCAATGCATATGCATGTATGTATTCAGAGCAAACTCAATGGTGACTATCGATCACTAAATTGTTAAAAGACGCATGTTGGGGTCAAACAAGTCACACTTCTACCAATTTCACTATGAGCAACATGTAAAAAGCAGTTGTAAAGGCGAAAAGCCATCTTTACACTCGAGCTATTGCAAAGCGTTCCAAATATCTCATCCTCAAAAGTTGTCACAACCATTAAGCACACAAATCTTTGCATTAAAGGTGATGCAAATCTACTCAAGAAAAAGCTGCTAAAAGAAGTTGCTATCATTGGGCAATGCCGTAGAACTATCACAACATCAGGAATAAAGTCTGCGTTAGTACAACGGTCAGCCTGTTGTAGCTGGTTCCTAAGCTCAAAAGGAAGAGCATCAAATTCCACAAGGTAAAATAATGAGCACTCGCTCCAACACCTACCAAAGTGGGAGCGTACGGCTTGCACGCCCACTTGAATATGGCTCAACTGCGTGTGCAAGGAAAAACAAAACATCCAAATTAGGTCAAGTGCAGAAGTAGTGAAAGACGCCAAACAAATAGCAGCAAACTAGCCAAAATTGCAAAACAACCGCATGAATGGGTCGCATTTTATAGTGGAGCTGCTGTGCTAGTGCTTGGCATGTTATTTCAATTGACAAATATTTCCTGTAGCGAAAAATAACATTTTAAAAACTGCATTTGCTTTTTGTCTGAAGTACATTTTTTGCATTTAAGATAGTTACATGCAATAGAGTGATTTACGCTCTTGTTTGAATGCGCCGATAAGCGAAATACCACCTCATGTGCGCCATGGAGGCCGGTGCGGGGCTAAGGTGTGGTGGATTTCGTCATTTCGCTATCGTTACCGTTAGCTTTATTGTTCTCATAAATCGTTTTCTCATATGACTTGTTCATATGTGATGGGCAAGCGGGCGTCAAGTTTCAAGGTAATAGTGGTTTTGCTGCTATTGAATCTAGCTTAGACTGAGCACTGTTGAAGCTTACGATAGTTTTGTGCGCCAAGGCAAATTTACCATCCATTTGGCTGTTACTGCTTGAGATGTCGTCCTCTGGAAGGTAGGACATTGGTGCTTTCGAGCCACTACATGCAGAGCTAGGCCAGGTTCGATTCACCAAGTGTGCCACCCTCTTCGTGCTATGAAGTGAAGTATCGACAAAGCATTGACACGAGAGGCGCGGCGTGTTTGGGTGGAGGCTTGTGGAATGTATATCGCTGCATCAATGTAATGTTTGCAGTCGTCTAATATTGGCAAACTGGTAGTCAAACGTCGGAGAGCTTATCCCCCGGGGAGCCGTTTCAATTTCACCTCGAGAGTTTAAATATGAGAAATATGGGACTCCAGACATCTAGTAATCGTGTATTGCGATTGACGAATTCGTCTGTGTTGAGTGAGGAGAAGAACCGACTTTCACCACTATCTGGGGCTCTGGAGTGTTTGCATCTAACTCACTTTTCTCTGCTTTGGCAGGCAGTAGCCGTTACTTGGACTTGTCGGAGAAGCGTTTCTTTTCTGTTGGAGGGTCGGGAGTCCGCTTATGACGGGCAATCGGAGGGAGGTAATGTCTACAAGTATTGATGGGCGTATATGGCTGTGAGGAGCAGATAATGCGTAAGTAGCCTCTTTGTTGGTGCAGTTAGACAGTCGCCAACGTGGATTGTCAGCGGCTAATTTGCGCAGGGTGAGAGGACTTAGGAATCTTCAACTATGGAATAACAGCCTGGGCTGCCTACTCTATCCTGTCTGCCAATTTTGGGAGTTGAGGGACATTGTATCTTTGTGATATACCCTGGATGGCGCTTTTCCATTTAGAAGAGTGTGATGAGGGTCCTGAAAGTCTCCTCACTCTGTATCTGCAGTATTTCTACGGAATTATGGGCACTTATCGGCGGCTGACTATGGTGAAGGCCGTTTGCCTTGACGGTGGTGAAGACTTGAGGTAAGTACATTATGTACTCATTACAATCCGGTCGGGGATTGTTAATTTGAATAGCATTTGAGGCTTTTGGTTCATTTTCAGAAGTGAAGCGATTAAGTACGACAAGTAGGATTGGGTGATGACAGTGAAGTTGTTTTGAAGTTGATCTTAAAGTGTTGTTAACT